TGTTCCTAAAGGGTGACTTGACAATTGAGTGAAATATGAAATAGCATATATTTAATACGTGGTTAACTGAACATTCAGATAATAGTATTTGTTTTCAGTTCAAGTAATATTGCAGAGCTGGTAAGTTTGAGAGAAACAGATAGGTGGTTATCTTCATTTTTCTAACTATTTTCTAAGGAATAAAGACCTGCTTATAGGAGGGATTTTGTAAAGTAAGATTCTGCTCTCCTGCTGTCTGTGTGAAAGTCTGCATTCTGTGTGTGTGTCTGAGTGTGAGAAAGGGGGTTATCTAAATCTTCTAAAATGCCTTAATGAATGGGAAAAGATCCGGTTAGGTTACAGAGTACAGCCACAGTTGCTTTTGGCATCATTATCTGGGGATTTTTGTGCTTTTCTTCCTCCTTTGCCTTATCTCTTTCCCCTTTTCACAGTTCGTGGGTACACAAACTGTGTCATTCATTGTAATGATAAAGCAAGTACTGAGTGTTTAGCTTTCATTCTTGTCCTTGGATGTTAAAACTGACAGCTTAGCACCTCTATTACTTTTTATCTGTGAGTCATTGGCCTTGCCAGCACTCAAGATAAGAAAGTCTCACACTTGCCAGGGGCAGGGGGAGAAAAAAAAAAACCAGGAAAACCAAAAAAAAGAGCACAGGGGTTGGGCTATACTAACCACAGAATGGATGGTAGGAAGCTGTTTTGAAATTGGATGGTACTTTTCATTCACCAGAACAAAGTTATAAGTGAGAAACTGTTATCATTTAGGCACTTTACAATGGTGAAAGTCCATTTTTGCCTACTAGGTTAACCACTGTAAACCTTTGAAGGAGTGGGGAAATCCAACACTTTATCTCATTTTAATTGAAATGTTAAATGACCATCAGTCAAAATAAATTTTCCTACCTCACAATAAATCTTTATTCATGAGACATGAGCCACAAAAACTGAGAATCGAACACTGTACCAGTTGTGTGTGTGTGCACAAACAAAAATATATCATCAGAGGATCAACAATACTACACTAAGCCTGTTATTTACTGATAAACTTTGGGAAAAAATCATAATTTTATGCTCATTTTCTGTTTTAATTCATTTTATGCTGTTTTCACAGAATATCTGAGACTAGGTAATTTATAAATAACAGAGATGTGTCTGTCTGGACTTCTGGGAAGTCCAAGTCAAGGGGCCTATATCTGGTGAAGGTCTTCTTACTGCATCATCCCTTAATAGAAGCAGGAAAAGTAAGAGTGAAAGAGAAAAGAGGAATGGGACCAAACTTTTATAACAAACCCACTCCTGTCATATTGGCATTAATCCATTTAGGAAAGCAGATCCTCCATGATTTTATCACCTCTTAAAGGTCTTACCTCTCAACACTGTTGCATTGGGGTAAAGGGTCCAACATGTGAATTTGAGGAAACATATTTTTAAAAAACCATAGAGCTTTTTTCCTCTGTTGCAGACTATTTTTCCTGGCACTCCACCTTCATTTCTGTGTTTTATACACTCTAAAGGAATCAGCATAAGACTTTAAGGGACCTCAAAATTAAGCTATTCAGTCCTCATCTGCCCAAATATATACATACCCAGTAGAACTGCTCTCTATCCTTTGGTTCATAAAGGATTTGGAAAGTCTGTGAAAATATTATCATGATTTACCATTTCCACATAGGATAGCTCCTCTTTTTATTGACTACAAGGTTAAGAACGTATCGAGAAGGAGAATAGTCACATTTAATGTTTTATCCTGCCACATCATTCCCTTTTACTTTCTCAATAACAACATGAAGTTCTGGGTAAGCATAAGCTACAGTCATAAAGCATTGTTTGTTGATGAACCCCAGTTACTTTCAAGTAGAACAATCTTTAAGATTCTTGTAAAGCAGTCTGTGTGAAGAATTCATATATATATATATATATATATATATATATATATATATATATATACACTTTTTTTTTTCTCTCCAACTTCATGTATTGCGTGTTTAATCCTCAGTGCAACCGCACTGAGAGGCAGGATCTTTAAGAGGTGATTAATGTCATTATTGCAGGAATGGGTTAGTTATTGTAGGAATCTGGTCCTGATAAAAGAATTAAGTCCCACCCCCTTTCTCTCTCCACCTAGGTGATGCCTTCTGCCATGGTATGATGCAGCAGATGTGGGTCCCTTGACCTTGGACTTCCCAGCCTTCAGAACTATAAGAACTAAATCTCTATTCATTATAAGTTATTTAGCTGCAGGTGTTCTATTATATCAGCACAAAGTGGACTGAGACCTCACTTTTATTGTTACCATTGTTTTGCCCTCATTTAATTTGATAGTGTTGTTTTAGTGATTAGCTTTAAAGGCTATTACTCAATCTTCAAATTCATTATCATAGAAATGAAGTTATTTTCTTGTTGAGCTCATATTTGGTTTACACAATATTTAGTTTAATTGTGTAATTATAGATATAAACCAGTCTGGAACTACTGTAGCTCAGCACTTGACTGGTAGGCGCATACGCGTAAGGGTGGACCAGGGAGGGGCTGATCGCCTCTAGATTTCAGCAAGTCATAGCCATCAGTCAGCAGGCCTTACAGTGGGAACAGAGGGTGACAGCTAATCCAGTGAAATGAAAATTGGAAGTCATATAAAAGAGTTTTTATTGTATTTTCAATATTCTGATTGAGAAACTAAATCCAGTGAATGCTAGATGCACTCCCAGTGCACTGGAGGTATGGTGAAGCAAGACTTAGGGACATCTTTCCAAAGAAAGGATGCTCAAGTAGAAGTGTTGAATCAAGCAGAAGAGAGACAGTGATCTAAACAAAGGACACCTCTGGGCAGAGAGCAGCAAGTAGTTTCTAGAGTAGTTTCTGGAATAGTTTCTAAATGATTCAAATACCATGAGTTTTAAAGAGGTAAGTAGAGGCCAAATACAACAAAAAGCTGCCTACATTACTCTGAAGAATTTGAACTTTACTTCCAGGACAATGGGAATGGGTGAAAGGAATTAGGCAGTTGAGTCACAGGCTCAGATTTGAACTTTACGGATATCACTTGACTGCATTGTGGAGAAAGGGCTGGAATGCCAGATAGGAAGGAGGCTGTGGCAGTAGTACAAGCAAGAGCTGATGGAGGCCTTAATTTGCATAATGTCTGTGGAGATAGAGACAGGATACATTTAGGAGCTAGTTTCAATAGGACTTGCTAATTGATTGGATATGGAGGTGGTGATAAAGAGACAAGGGTGACTCTTAGGGTTGGGGGACAGTCATCTGGATAAAGTGAGGTGTCATTCTCCGAGACAGGAGAAAAAGGAGAAAGTTTCATGGTGGTAGAATATAATTCTACACATGCCATATTTGAGCATCCAATTTGAGATGACCTGTGGGTAGTTGAATACATATACAAAAAGAATTTTCTTTAGGAGAAAAGATCTGGATGTGAAATATGGATGTTGTAAATAGCAATGTATCAATGTGAGTTTGATGCAAGAGGATGAAATTATATAAGAATATAGGAGAAGAAAATGAGCTAAATGGTGGAAAATTTCTGATTACCTATGTCATGTGAGTGATGTCTCAGGAGTAAGTCATCATACTAATGCTTACACATAATGGCATAATGACATCTTTTTAAAAAAGCCTCCAACACATTATGACTGACTTCCCTTATGTGAAATAAGTGGATAATACTGAGCTGAAAAGTCCGTAGTGTGATTACCATTCATCCTGTCCACTTCAAAGCATGCAAAATTATAAATAAAAACTGATATACTGTCATAAGTGTATCATATTTGTACATTATCGAAAAAGGTGGTGGGTTTGATGCTAGTGGTAGTTGAAAAGAAAAGGACCAGCTATCTTATCTAAAATAAGGTGTGTCAACTTCAAAGCAAGTCTTTTCCTTTCCCCAATGGAATTACTTATATAGTGATTTGTTACAATGGAAATCAGTGGATACTAGAGTGGGGGTTAAAGTCTCAACTCCATAAGCAATCTCTCAACAGCAGCCTTTAAACAGTCCCAAGGACAGACATCCTTGGTCAGGAGCTTAAAATAAGCTTCCAATTTTTTCTTTTGCCACAAACAAATTAGTAACCTCCTCTGGTTCTATTATGTTGCCCAGAGAAGGAAGGGTTAGCAGATGATCTCCAAGTTCTCTATCAGTTTCAACATCCTGTGCTTGTAGTCACCTGAAAGATTAAGTCAGGGCTGAATTCACTAGGAAGTTTGAATGCCTGAATTCATCCTATTCAGCTCTACCCGCCAAAGGCAGGCAAGTACTTTTAACCTGGTAGCATTCTCAATCAAGATTTGTCACCACTCAAAGACCACGTAGACTAAGATGCATATATTAAGTCTTTCCTCCAAGGTCCTAGTAAGTATTACTGTGATTATTTTATTATTCCTGGCTATTGCCTGGAATCTATGATTGTCATCACAGGTTCATTAGAAGAGCATTTCCCCCAGCTCCATCCAGAGCACTGAGGGTGGCTATTTGTAATTCAATATACCATTTCCAAAACCACAACTTTCACATTTTTTAAAATTTTTTTTATATTTGGTTCCGATGCAGGGGTGAAAAAAATCGGTATTAAAATTAGAAGAATTTTATTTTCTTCAAAATCATTGTTTTATTTGTGAATGGTAGGATAACTTATACATTTCTTTAATTTGGAATTGAAGGGTTTCTTGATAACAAAATGAAGTTTACTCCCAGAAGTTTCCCTCAATACCTCCAACTCAGAGAACTAGCCTAGTTTTTGCTCAATTGTTTGCGCACTCCCTTTAAGCCCTTCAACTCCATTGATATATGGTTCCCAGGACGTAGTGGAGACTTCTGGCTGGAGAGGCTGGAAAATGTAACACCAAATTTCCTACAATCCCAGCTCCACTTTCTCCTGAGTCCGGCCCCCGGCTGGAGCCTTGTTATTGTCACGTGGCCACGGGGTCGCCCGCGGTGTGGCGGGCCAATGGGCGCACGCGGGCCTTGCCCGCCCCGCCCCGCCGCGATGCTCCGCAGTTCTGGGACTTCGTGCTTCGCCGCTGGGAGGAGGCGAAAAAGTTTCTTTGCGGGCCAGCTTGCGGACGCTGCTCGGGCTGCAACTCTGCCACAATTTGGCGGTACTTTTCGGTTTCTGTCCTGCTGCTCCGGGGCATGAGAGGGCTTTGGTGCTAAGAGTAAAAGAAGTTTACCTGGGAGCTCGAGAGAGGAGCACGCGGCTGGAATCAGGGCGTTCACTCGTGGCTGGAAGTTTGTAACCGAGCCCGAGTTCGCGCCGGCTGCGGAGCGCCGTGCCGAGCTAGAGGCCGCGGGACCACGATGTGCGCGCCGAAGCTCCGTGCGCCCGCGGCGGCGCTGGGACTGCTGCTGTGCGCGGCGCTGGGCCGCGGGGGCCCTGGCGAAGGCAGTCTTCTCGGCGGCCGCGGTGCACACGGGCAGCCCTCGGAGGTTGCCGCCGAGCGCCCGTGTCCAGCTCCCTGCCGCTGCCTCGGGGACCTGCTGGACTGCAGTCGCCAGCGGCTGGCTAGTCTTCCCGAGCCACTCCCGTCCTGGGTCACTCGGCTGTAAGTATTCTTCCCGCGGACGGAGGGGATCGGACCGCTGGATTGCGGAAAAGCGGGAGACAGTGAGGGCCTGGTTGCGCCCTCTTCCAGGGCAGCTCTTGCTGGCCCAGGCCACTAGCGGCGCTTGGTGGGGGTGGAAAAGGAGCTGTGGGGCCTCAGTCTCCTTCCTGAGTGCTGCGCAGGTGGGGCGCTTGTGGCGCCCCACCCGGCGGCTGGCGGAGGTGGGGAGGGGACTCGGGCAATTGCCTGAGCCAGACTTCTAGGAGCTCCTGTCCAGGCCCAGGAGGGAGAGGTGACACTCTACATGGATGACCGGAGTTTTGCAGTTTTTCCTCCGAGTTTGTGTGGGAGAATGGCCCAGCTTTACCTTCTGACTGGTTCTGCCCCTTTTCCTATTTCCAACCAGTAATTTCACTCACTTCTTTGACTTGGGAAGCCCCCTCAAGTCACTGCTCAAGCTATGGCAGACATACTTCAGACTTACCCCATGCGTAATTTCGCATTAGCAAGCTGTGAGTTTACCTTCTGGGCCACACAGTGACCCGTTTTCCTTTCGCTAAGAAGTTGGGTGGTAAGATTGATCAGTAGATGTGGAAAGGAAGACACTAGGTTTTTCAGAACCAAGGACGTGATTTCTGTGGTCTCTCACAGCCGATTTAGGGGAGAATGCAGTGTGCTCTTATGCAAGTTTTTGTATTTTCGCTGTGAAGTCTGAAAATCTGAAATCACTGCCAACTGCATGGAAGAAGAAGGAAGAAAATGAAATTTAGTTGGAAATACTGGTCCTTTCAAAACGTTAACCCTTTGTTTCTCCTAGTCCCCAGTTTTGTTAAAATTTAAGAGTTCTGTAAAATGTAACAACCCCCCTCCAAAAAAAAAAAACTTTTTATTTTTTTAAAAGTCGTTATCTTGTTTAAAAGAAAGAATATCTTAGACTCTTTATAATCTTAGATTTGGGCCTAGCAAAACTGCCGTGGAAATTTTCAGTTCTTAAACAATTGTAGCAGACTGTCCTGTCGTTGTAATAACCGGTTGAAGGTTTAGTTAGGTGGTTTAAGAAATTGTATTTTTACATCATTGTGCTAATCTAAATTCCTTTATTTGTATTTAGAATTTTAGAATTGTTGAATAAACCTTAATTTAATACAAAAATAGAATTAAGGAGTGTTGGGTTGGTATTTAATCGCTTATCATGGGATGTCTTACTTAGTAGTTTTTATTACAAGTGAAGAAGGAGATAAGGACTTTAACCCAAAGCAGGAAAGACTTTCAATTAGTTGTGGCTAATTCCATTCAATTGCCTCTTGTGGAGGTCATGCTGCTGCATTCATGAAATGTGAATGGCTCTATTGACAACATATGGAACTGAACATTTGAATGACTGGAGAGGTGAACACCTATGAATAATAGAGGGACTAGAAAGAAAATGAAGATAGTGCTTCCTGGAATGTTTAGAAATGCTTGGATTCAGCATCAAATCTAACTGTATTCCGTAGTTTCTCAAGGACAAGTGGGCTCTTGGATCATGCCAATGTGCAACATACTTTTTGTGAATTTAGATGTCACTAAAGAAATAACTGTGTTTCCTTGCCTTTGATTATAAGTTGAGTTGAACCAAAAGGAGTTCGATACCTATTTAAACATTGTCTTAAAAGTAGCTGACCTAATTAGGATTTTGTTTTGCAGATAATTTGGTGGCACACTAAAAACAAATTACAGTTTATTTGGTTAGCACAGTCTTTAATTACATTTCCGCCAGCAGTAAATTGTCTCAATACAAGTCCACATTCCTTAAATGTATGTGAAAATAAGTTCCACTTGTATAAATAAGCACTTGGTCTGTTGTCAGACGCCCTGCTGTGATCACTCATCGAACAGCCCTGTCATTCTTGTACTTTTGTGACTTCTAACCATCTTTGTAGGTGTCACCAAACCATGTGGTTGAAGTTCTTTATTGTAAATGTTTCTTTTGTTTGTGCCTAAAGCTCTGCAGCTGTCTTCTTCACCTTTGAACGAAGAAAAAACAAACAAATGTGGAAATGAGTTTTACCTTCTCTGTTATTTGGCATATTGGAATAGGAGGTGTAAGAAGATGCTACTTGATTTTCACATGATTGAAAAAGCTCTTAAGTAGATTATGGAAATAAGTAGAAAAAGGGATATTCTTCGACATGTTTTACCTTCCTTAGGCAATTGAAATAGTAAAAGTTTGTCTTGGGACTAGCTTATGAAAGCATTGTTCAGAAAAAGCACAATGTCTATTTTTTGTTTCATGTATATGTGAGTATGTATTTTCCCCACTTGATTCAGTTGAAATTCCAACTATTCAGTTGAATAGTTTGAGTTACACAATAATAATACTGCACTTAGTTCTACTTTCAATAAGTAACTCCTAATAAATACTTTAATGAAAGTAGCTGTTAAAACAGTAACGCTTTGGAGCCTTGCTGTAGAGTTTGTGCTTAACAGAATTCTGAACCTAAAGAAACTTATTGTTTGAATATTATTTAACCAAAAGAGGGAAAAATTGCTGATGAGAGCTTCCAAGTATTACTACTTTCCCACTGAAATGTCAGAATTATTTATTTTATCTCGTAGAAAAGTTTGGGTTAGCACCAGGGCTCAGGCAAAAGCCAGAAAGGTAGATTCTGCTGGTGTGACTCCTTGAGTGTTGGCCTGTTATAAATCTTCTGGTCCATACCAGAATTGGGGGTGGGGTAGAGGTAATAGTCCTTATGGTTTTCACAGCTGTTTTTCTATATTTTCCAGACTAAAACTCGAACATAGCTGGCTGATTTATGAGTCACTTTGGATCAGTGTCTTAAAACAGCTACAGCCTGGCTTTTTGTTTTTCAGCTTTCCAGATTTCTGCTGAATTAGCAGCTCTGCAGGCCCAGTGGGATTGATTAAGAAGCTCTGCTGTATTTGCATTTTAAAATTTGACTTAGAAGTCAGATTCCTAAATGCTAAAAGGAAGAAAATGAGAGCTGGAACCACATGTTGTAAATTAATTATTTTCATATATATTTATTTGCTTGCTAATATGCAGGAAGAGAATCTTCTCTCTGTCGTGTAGAAAGAGTTTGAGTTTTGAGGATTTGGTTCTGGGAAAATAGTTAACACTTCTCTCCCATACCACCTTTCCCATTTGTTAACCTCACTACAACAAATTTTTTTTAAAAAAAGTTTCTTGGGGAAGATGTTCATTAGTGGAATTCTAAAAACGATAAATCTACCCTCCTTTTTGAATGCTTTATGTTCTGAGTTTAACAAAACACAAGAATTGTACAATTGTGAATCTCTCCTGAGTGATGTAGCCATAAAAACAATGTAAGGAAGATTTAGGAAAATGTGACATCCTTTAACTGGAAAGTAATCATTGCTGAAATGTAAACTATATTAAATCTAAATTTAGGTACATTAAAAGTTTCATGGCTTTAAGTATTTAGCAGTAAAAGTCACTTACAGGGCGCTTTTTTTCTTCTCCCACATATAATGTGGTTTTAATAGCACACAAAACTCAAGCATGCAAGTGTGTTGCAATAACTGAAATATTTAAGTTTGCCAGCTCCTGCTTCTGGATCAGAAATGAGTGGTTCCCTGCATGTGCCCTGGTCTCTGAAGGTAGTTTCTCATTTTAAAGGTCTTTTGTTTGAGGATCTCATCCCATTACTGGTAGAAAAAAGTTAAGCACTCAATCTCATTTCTCACAGGATTGCCCTGTGGAATAATCCTAACAATGAAGTGGAAAGTGCAGTTGCAGTTTTTTTAATTAAAAGGAAAAATCACCTGTATTAAATGTAAATGCCAGATTGGTTCCCCCTTTGCTTTTAAAACGGGAAACAATGGGGGAATGCAGGTTCAATGTTCCTGAGTTAAGTCAGTTCAAATGAGACTCTCTGAGGATTCTGGCTGCCTCCCAGGTGAAGGACTCCTTTCCTTGGTTGTTTTTTAAGCCATGTGGGGAATCTGGGACTGTCTGGGGTGCTAAAAGCACACAGGTTTTGTTTGAATCCTAACGTGAGTTGTTGGGCTCACGGTTTCCTTGATGAACTCCAGATGGACTTGGGCCGGACTGTGAGGGAAAGTGTCTGGCTCCAGCCGGTGGTGAGCATGCACAGCAGTGGTTGTAATTGCAGGATTTTTATAGTTTAAAGACTGTGCCAGATTTTTTTTTTTTTTCATGTTATAACTCTACCAGAACAAATCTACTCATGTCTGTTACTGTCTGGTAGGTCTTTAGGCAAACATACTTGGAATAAAACCTTTGCAGTGTTTTTTTTTCTTTTAAAGGTGAAATAGAGAAATCCAGGGTTACTCAAAATAAAAACTTGGAGACTGAAAGGATCTCTGATTTCTAATTGTTAACTAGGCACCGAGTAACACTTTTCTTCTCTCTGTTTTTAGTTATTTATTTTGGGAGAACATACTTATGCATGTAACATAGTTCATGCTTTTTGTTCAGTGGACTTTAGTTGTTGGAAAACTTTCCTTATTTAAAAAATCTTAAATTTTAAACACAAAGAATTAATTTAGGAAGAGCCAATTTACCTCTTAGAGTGGGCCCCTTGTAAGCCATACTGCTAATCAGCCCCATTTGCGGTATCAGCTCAGCCATTTTATTTTCATTACACCATTTTGAAGGCACATAGTCAGTGTATTGTTGGAACGTACAGGGACTGTAGTCAAGCAATTTGCCAGATTTCGTTTCGAATTTTGAATCTTAAGCGACAAGATGAATTCCTTGGACCATCATGTATGTAGGAATTTGTTGTTTTTATATTAGGATTGGTATTCTGTGAAATTGTTACTAAGTTAGACTGGGAAACACTAAGTTTGAGTGAGAAACACATTCATTTTAGTGATTGAATCTATTCACAGGTGCTTGTACAGTCTGCTTAACTTTGTTAAAAGATTGTCGATGTGGTTTAAATTATATGTTAAATTACCAGATATTTAGATTTGGGGAGCTCCAGAAAGCAGAGGGTTCAGGTGGTTTTGTACCCTTTTAACACACAGGCGTGAGTGCACACACACACACACACACATACCACAAAATTTTAATACAATTTAGTGCCTTAACCAAAACAAACAGTTTTGGGTGAAAAGCAATTTCTGTTTTGTCTGACTGTAATAAAAACATTGATACTTAATTTCATGATAATAAAAAAGTTTGTATAGAAGCTGTAGTTTCAGCAACCTGCCTAATTAGCCATTTTTCATGAGCCATGATGTCACCATATCGAGTTGGGAGTGGGGACTTGGGAGGGTAAAGCAAAACTAGCAGTTCACAAAAGATCTGTTCACCATGTGCCAAAAACATCTCTTAAAACATTTGTGGGTTTAAAGTATTTGAATCTGCCAGTTCTTAAACTAATTTTGTCCTCTAGAGTTTGTATTTTTGAGTTTGGCATTTTGGGTGCCATCTAGTTTGTGGCCAGAGTGGACCAATTATTTCTTCAGTTGTTCCTCGGGTTGATAGTGCCACTAGTTCATAAGCCCACTCTGTCTTGAATGTTGTTGATCCTAATTTTGGTTTTTAGAAACTAATAATTTTCATTTTCTTAAAGGGACCTAAGTCACAACAGATTATCATCCATCAAGGCAAGTTCCATGAACCACCTTCAAAGCCTTCGAGAAGTGTGAGTCCTAGTTACTTTTTGTTTGAGATTTGCATAAACTATATTACCTTTTCACTGTATGAACATTTGGATTATAATAAATTATTTAAAACTTTGAGCTTGGAAGGAATTTTTAAATAATTTATAAAGTTTTCATATCTAAATTACAGATAACCTAATTAGCCCCACCACCTTTTCTCACATTTATAGGAAACTGAACAACAATGAATTGGAGACCATTCCAAATCTGGGACCAGTTTCAGCAAATATCACACTTCTTTCCTTGTAAGTAAATATCAACAAAATTTCATGTGTATGTTTGTAAGAGCCATGGGTATTAGATGTTCCATGGTTCATGTGGGCTAGTGTAAAGCTCTTAAGAGCAAAGTATGAATATTTCTTCTAGGATATAATAAAGAAGGATTCTTTAACTTGGTTAACTTATTTTTCAACCTATAGTGCCACTTCTGAATCTCAAGTGTCCATGTACCTTCTAACAACATACTTTATGTTTTGCTGTCATTGTCAAACTAGTTGGTCTTCAACATACAAAGGAGCCCCATAGAGATGTATGTTTGATGACATTCTCTATGTTAGGATTTTAATTCTGGTGTGGCTCAGTGGTTGGCATGGAATCCGTGGATTGTGGATTACATATCTCCTAGTGGAGAATGATTAGAATTGTTTTGTGAGGATACTTGAGAGTTGGTGGTAAGGCATTGAGGTTCCCGTTTTAAAGTGAGGCAGCTGCAGTGAAAGGTCAGGGTTTAGAAACCTCAACTCGAAATATCAACTGAGGCAGTGAGAATTAAATATGTAATTGAAGTTAGAAACATCATCACATGTTATTTTGCAAATAAGAGTTTTCAAATACAATTAAAATTGTGGTTTTTGCATTTTTGTAGAGTGTAAACATATTTATATTCATGTATTGAGGTAGACTATAGAATAATTTTTGATTTTTGAGCATTTAAAAGTAGCATTTAAAATGCTCCTGATTTAATTTCTTAAATTAAGTAATTTACCATCTTAATCTTGAATAATTAAAAAATATATTTGTGCCATTGAAGCTAAAAACATGTTCCTTCTTTAAACAACTGAAGAGAAAAATCACCATTGTTAGTTGCTTCTGGTGAAGGTGTTGGGAGGGTTGAAATTATACAGTAAATTTCAGGAAAGCTGTTCAATTAATTAAAGTGATCACTACCCAATTGCTTACATCTGGTGATTTATAGAGGTTTGTTTTTACTGAGGGCCCAGGTCAGCCAAGTCATGGTGCAGCCGCTGTGTCTGCTTTCTTCTGTTTGAATAAGAACTAAGTGACATTTGATACTGATGTGGTTTTAGCGAAGATCAGAAACAGAAAGGAATGAAAGAAAAAGCAGTTGGTATTTGACAAATAAACACTGAGTCTAAAAAATATTTTTATGCTAGCATTAATACCCATTTTCTTTGTCTTTTACCATTGCTTAAAATATTGGAGTCTAAAATGGAATCTTGGTTTTGTTATCTCACTAGGTATTCTTCTTTGGCCAAGGGAGCTTTTTAAACCTCACTTGCTTTCCTGGTCTTGTGTTTTGGCAGGTTCTGTCAGCATGCTCAAGAGGGCCTTGAGGGTCATGGTACACTTCATTGCCGAGGGGTCTTTGGGGCCAGTTTGTAGCCTGGATGGGTTGAGGAAAATAGTGTGTACTTTGGCCTGGCATAGAGTCGGAAGCATAGAGCTTGGGAGGAAATTAGAAAATTCTATTGGAAATAAATAACAGCGGCTGTACCCTTTAAGGCTGTAATTTGGAAATAGAAAGCCAGAAGAGTATCTAAAAAGTTAGAAATCGTCAAAATTTGGATTTTTCTCCATATTGTTTTTATTTGTGTTTGGCTTTAGCAAGAGCTATGTCAAATGAGCCTGAATAATCTCACTCTTTTTCCCCTTAATCTGCTGCAGTACATCTGACCAGTGATTGCTTTGTTCTCATATAATGATAGAACCAATTACTAACTAGATTATGTAGACTCTCCAAGAGTAATTTGTAGGATGGGCTTACTCAGGCAATGTGGAGAGTGAAAATTTATTTTCATACATATGAAATATCTTGAGGAATTTTACTTCTGGTTGTTTCCTTCTACCAATGTTTTGTTTTCTCCTGCAGTCTCTTGGATATTACAGAGCACAACCACTGTTTCTAAAACACTAATCGTTTCCATGTTCTATTGCTTAGGCTGAAACATTTTCTTTTTTAAAGAAGAACTTGAAAATAATCAGAGCTGGCTATCAGTATCTAAATACATCTCTGAAATTTTAGGGAAAAAAAAATCTACTAAACCACATGACATGAGTCAGATTAGATACTTGGTGTAGTGTCACAATTAAAACCCATATTTTTCAAAGGAGTTTCTGAGACTGTTGGACCCCTGTGTTATCAAGTTTTAAATTTTTTTTTTACTTTCTGTTGTCTAGAGGAAAACTTTTTTCTGGGTTATTTACACAGGTTAAATAATTTGAAAACTTGTGTTAAAAGGAAAAATTAGCTGAGTTTTCAGCATAAGATTTAATATCCAGGCTTCATTCCATTGCTGCCTTGTGTTCTCTCAGCTGGAGGGCCTGGATACAGAGAAGACTGTACCTGGTAAGATCTCCCTCTTAGTCGTAGGAGCCAGGAGCTCATATTTTATCAAATGATACTAATGTCCAGAGACATTCAGTTAGGGACTGGTTCTGGTAACATCGGGGAAGCCTAGTAAAATGTCAGGCACCTGGGATGCTGGTTGAACATGCTCATGTACAAAACTCATCTCTAACCTTTTCAGGGATCTTTGAGAATATAAAAGACCTGAATAGACCTGCTTTCCTTTGAATCCCACACAGAGTTGCCTCAGAAGTCAGCCCCTGTGATAGGGGCAAGGCATGACTTGTGTGTGTCCTTGTTTTTCTCTCACAATTTCATGACTGTAGCGGGATGGTTTTTTTTAGGTAAAGAAATGGAACAGTCTTGGGAATGAACATACAGTGAAACAGTTGACCTGGCATAAGTGAGCCAATTTTACTGATGTGCTAGTTTTGGCTCTGGTGGCCCTCCAAATGTGCTCATTCAGTGGAAAGCCATTGTGACATGACCTGCTCAAGCATTGGGCAGTTTTGAAACATGTGGACCTGGGTTAGGGAAGTTTGAGTTTGTGACTTGTGCAACATGATTGTTGAATGAAAGAGGCCTTGTTGGTTATTAAATAGGTGAGTTGGGTCTTAGTTGTGATGCTGATGGTTTATATAGTACTGCCCAACTTGCAGATACTTGTCTGGTTTTGAAAAGTGTTTAGGTCAGTAGCTGTCCAAGTTTTATCTGGAGTGCTTGTTAAAAATGTAGCTGGGCACTGTGGCCTACACTGGTGAGTCCCAGTGACTTGGGAGACTGAAACAGTAGAATCAAGAGTTTAAGACCAACCTGGGCAACTTAGTGATACCTGTCTCAAAAGAAAAAAAAAGTGGGAGGAGCTGGGGATGTAGGTAGAGCACTCCTGGGTTCAGTCCCTATTACAACCAAACACACACACACACACACATACACACACATACACACACACACACTCACAGAAGAAGGGGAAAAAATGTAGATTAGTAGATTCTCTCTTAGAGATTCTAAATCAGTGGGTTTGGGTAGGGCCCAGGTTTATTCATTTTAAAGTATTTGCCTGATCAGTCTGATCAGCTATTCCATAAGTATTTCTGAAATTACTGATAAGGTCAGTATCACAAATAACCGTTTTATCCTTATCTCTTATCTTACAGGTAGAACATTTCCTCCAAGTCTGTCGTTTTCTTTATAGCCTGTCATTTGTCCAGAGATGACATTGTTACTCTTTTAGGGGGGGTCATTATAAATGCTGATTACCTTTGCTGGTAGCCCTCCAAAATGGGCTCATTCAGTGGAAAGCCATTGTAGAGATTTTAAGCTGTGAGACCAACAGATCTGGTATTTGACAGTGTCACTCTGGCCTTGGTATGGAGAATGGCCTGGAGGTGGCAGGAGCGGGGAGAATGGGGCAGAGGATTGAACCTATGCAACAAGAGTGGTGTTGGCCCCGTTCTACAGTGCTGTTTTGGTCACATAGAAGAGTAATTAAAGCAGAGCTCAAGTCAGACAGCCTGGTATTAATTGCTGGCTCCACCCATTGTTAGTTTTGTGACCCTGGGCAAGTTACTTTCTTTTTGTTTTTCCTCAGCTTTAAAAGGAGAATAGTAATAGTGCCTATCTCACAGGATTATTTCGAAGATTCAGAGAGAGGATACAGTAAAGCCATTTGGCACTCACTGAGTGCTCAGCGACTGAGCCATGAAGGTGGTGATGGAGACGATTCATTCAACTAAAATGTGTTGACTCCCTGTTGTGTGCCGGGCTCTGTTTTAAGTGAAGAGCAGTAATGAAAAACTGTGAAATTTCCCTTCTATCGAGGAGAGAGAGAAAAACAGATAGGCAAACAGACTTTAAAAGGAAAGATGACTTCAGTCCATGATAAAGGCCGTGAAAAGGGATTAGAATGCTGTGGCAGTTGTCCTTTGATGTGGTCAGTGAAGGTGAATACTGAATGCTGACCAAGTTCCACCTTGTGCTGGGCATAGTTCTAGGATCACAGGAGTAGTGAACAGAACAGACAAAAATCCCTGCCCCCAGAGAGCTGACCTGTTGGAAGGAGGAAGGCAGAAAACACCTGGTGTGATATCATCAAACCAGGAAGTGTGAGGACTGTGTGTGGTCACAGAGGACTCCCCAGTTGACCGCCCTGCTCCATTGAGGCCCACACTTTGCCTTGTAGACCAACTCATATATAGGCAAAAAATGATATTGCTGCTGCTTTTCTCCTCTGCTGCATTGTGAGGCCTCTGTGGTCGAAGTTCCTTTCCTTAATGCAGGTGTGTGGCATAGTTAATGCTTAATGCATGAATTAAGGAATAGTTATAAATATTCATATGCATTTAGCATAATTCAGAGAGATCCATGTACATTTAGTCTAAACCTGTGACTACAGATTTACTATTGGAGACTGTTCAACTGTGCATACTTGGTACAATAATAATAATTATAAATTATTACAATAATACTGGTTGAAAGAAAAAAATGAGAACAAGAGAAGTAATTTCAGTAACTCAAGGATGCACTTCACCACTTGAGCAAGAGAGAAACCTGCTCTGGAGTATGTGGGAGGTGGGAAATCAGAACCCCTTTTCTCATTTGTCTTTGTAAGTTTGAATGGCTCAGCTCACTAAGGGTGACTTTGGTATTCAGAAATAC